AGAGGCCCAAAATTCATGTTGAGTCTTTCTTAATTGCTCACCATATTATTCTTTGAAGCAAGGTAACTTGCACAACAGAGAACATGATGATTCCTGCTAATTTAGCTAGTGAGCTTGTACCCAGGGTCCATTTTCCATCTTCTGGGCAATGAGACTACAGGCAGCCACAGTGCCGGTTCTGGGGCTCTGAACACCAGTCCTCCAGCTCACGCTTGAGCAACAAATGCTTTATCTCCTGAGCCACTCCCTCAGACCTTTATTACATCCAATTCAAAAATCGATAACTGTATAGTAGTTAGGGCTTATTAACCTTATTATGATTGTTAACATTACTTTGATCTTCTTATTTCTCATTCATACTTAGGTGTTTCAAAAACTCATAAATTATTAAAATGAAAATTTTATGTTGCTTTATGTATATCCTAGACAATTTTATGTAATACTTTCATTATTCATAAAAATACTTTCTAATTTCCCTTAGAATATTTTAGTCTATGTTGAAAAGTAACTGCAATTCTAAAGCTATTCTTTTCTATTGGCATTCATTTTTATTTTAATTGCAGCATGTCCAGAGAATTTGTACTTTTGGATATCCCTTGTTGCTAAAAATATAGTAAAATCTCCAAGTGTCCTCGAAAAGAGTATATATATATATATTTAACTGGTGTCTGCAGGGCCTACCTGTAATATTATATTAAGAATGACTTCTAGGCTTCTCATGCTGGGATAAACCTGTAACCCCAGCACTTGAGGGGACAGAGGTGGAAAGATCTTAAGTACAAGATCAGCACAGGATACAGAACCCATCTTTAAAAAAAAAAAAAACAAATCAAAAACAAAAACAGATAACTGATAAAAAACTGTTTAAATACAATACTTAGTATTTTAATTGTCTTGTGAAGTTGCTTTTTAATTAATACATCCCTCCTTGTCCTTAATTGTTTCCTTAAAATCTATTTCATATATTTCTAGGACTACTAGCATTCTTTGTTTTTTATTGAAAATAATTTTTTCATATAATATATTCTGATTTCAGTTCCCCTCCTCCAGCTCCTTCCCACTTCTCCACCCACCCAAATCAAATCCATAAGCCCCTCACTCATCAGAATATAAACAAGCATCTAAAATAGTAATAATAAGAGAAAATAAAACGAACAAAGCAGACTAGGACAGCCAGCATTTTTAAAGGTTCACTATAAAAAACAAGAATAAGAAAAGGGATAAATGTCATATAAATGCGGTGATGTGGGGTACCCAATTTTGTACACATTGTATATAACCACACATATGCTGTCCTAGCTACTTTTTCTGTCACACAAGCTAGAGTCACCTGAGAGGAGAGAACTTCAATTAAGAAACGCTTCCATGCTGGGCAGTGGTGGCGCACACCTGTAATCCCAGCACTTGGGAGGCAGAGGCAGGCGGATTTCTTAGTTTGAGGCCAGCCTGGTCTACAGAGTGAGTTCCAGGACAGCCAGGGCTACACAGAGAAACCCTGTCTCCAAAAAAAAAGAAAAGAAAAGAAAAAAAAAAAGCTTCCATAAGACTGGGCTGGGCTGTAGGCGACCCTGTAGAGCATTGTCTTATTTAGTGATTGACTTAGAAGGCCCAGGGCCCAGTAACTTCTGAGTGGTGCACTCCTGGCTGGTGAGCCTGAATTCTACAATAAGGCACACTAAACAAGCCATGGGGAGCAAGCCTGTAAGCAGCAGCCTTCCACCGCCTGTGGATCAGCTCTGCCTCCAGGGTCTCGGCCTATTTAAGTTGCTGTCCTGACCTCTTTGATGATGAACAGTGATGTGGAAATGTAAGCAAATTAAACTCCTTCCTCCCCAGCTTGCTTCTGGTCATAGAGTTGCGTTACAGAAGTAGAAATCCTAAGCAAAACAATTACAATATTTATAATAATGAAAATAAACATAATTTTCTGCAAGTTTCTTTGTACTTCAATATATACCTCCTTTCCTTTCCTAATCCTATGTCTGGACAAATACTAAACATCTTTCTGTGACTATACCAAAATTTGCTTTTGCTTTTAAGTCTTAACTACGTAGCCAAGGATGACTTTGAACTCCTGATCCTCCTGCTACCATCTCCTAAATGCAGGTATTACGACTATATGTAACCAAGAGTTCATTTTAGAAACTTATATGAACGGAATTATAAGTATGTGTCTATTTTTGTCTACCTTCTTTTCTACAGCATACTTTACTTGAGATTCATCTATGTTAGGTGTTGTCAGTAACTTTTGTATTAAACTGTGTTCTTTATATAGATATACTACAATTTTTTTTAATTTATTTACTTTATGTACATTGGTATTTTGCCTGCATGTGTAAGGGAGTTGGATCCTCTGGAACGGGAGTGACAAACAGTTGTGAGCTACCAGTGGGTGCTAAGAATTGAACCTGTGCCTTCTGGAAGAGGACAGTGCTCTTAATTCCTGAGCCATCTCCCAAGCCCTACACAATTTGTTTTAAACATATCCCTGACATTTTTTTTTTTTTTGATTTTGAAATGGGGTCTCATTCTGTAGATCTAGCTAACCTAGAACTCCATACACAGATGAGGATGACCTTGAGGTTACACTGACCTACCTCCTTTAGTGTCCCAAATGCTGGGATTACAAGTATGAACAGGAAGGACCAATTTAACAATTTACTTGTTGATGGACATTAGGAACTTGGACTTAATGAGAAACAGAATAACAAAATGAATCCTTATTTTTCATGCTCAGAAAAACACTTCAAAATAGAAGGCTTGGTCAGTGTTAGAAGTATTCTAATTTTGTGTATTATGACCATACTGTTCCTTTAAAAATGTATTAAAGAATAAAGAATACACATAGCCAAGTCTTATTCTAATTATTTTTAAAAGTTAACTGCTCAAGGTTAATATTCATGCTACTGTGTAACCCAATCTCCTAAATTCTTTTCACATTGTTTTAAGAAACTAGTTATTTTTCAATTGTGTTTCTGGGTGTTCTGCCTGCACATATGTCATCACACACATATGCACCACAGGCATGCAATGCCTGCAGAAGTCAGAGCGAGTGCTGGGTCCCCTGGCACAGGAGTTACAGACAGCTGTGAGCTGCCATGCAGGTACAGAGAACCGAGTAGTCAGGGTTCTCTGCAAAGGCCCGGTAAAGCTTTAAGCTTCAGAGAGAGAGTTCGTCTTTACAGGTCATTTTACATTACATTTCTGCTTTGGAGGGGGAGGAGGAGGACAAAACTGAATTTGTTTTAGGAATTGAATTTATTCTGTGCAAAAATTAAATAATCCCAAGTCTGCTTTATCACAATCAACTCTTTCTGGAAGGGCAGGAATAAAGTGTAAAAAAAAGCACCCTTGATAATTAACAGTGTTTGAAACAGTATTTTCTTTCTTCCTTCATTTTTTTGTTTTGTTTTTCTTTGTTTGTTTGTTTTCCAGACAGGGTTTCTTTGTGTAGCTCTGGCTGTCCTAGACTCACTTTATACACCACCCTGCTCTTGAACACATAGGGTTCCACTTGCTAATGCTTCCCAAATGCTATGATTAAAAGCTTACACCCCTATGCCCGTCCTAAAAACAGTATTTTCTAAGTAAAATTGAAATCCAAAAATATGCGGGTAGTTGGCGACTCTTCTGGTTCCTAATCTGATCATTAACACAGCAATTCTAGACTCTAGGACAAAATGCTTTTATAGTAACATTTTTTAAAAGTCAAAAGGAATTTTGGAACACTGGAAACCATCAACTGTACTTTGAATTTCTGTTGTCTCACAAGGAAAACAAAGAAAAACTACTTTGATTTTGGCTGATTAGTAATTCTTTTAATTAAACTTAGAAGCAATCATATAGAGTTGGAGAGATGGACCAGTGGTTAAGAACACTTGCTGCTTTTCTAGAGGACAGAGTTCAGTTTACAGAATCCTTGTCAGGTGACTCAAAACTAACTACCTAGCTCCTGCGGATCTAATTTCTTCTCTGACATCTGTGAGCACCCTGACTCATGTGCATATACCCACACACAGACAGACAGACACACACAGACATACAGATACAGACACACACACAAATAATAATAATGTACATTGTATTAGAAAAGCAACCATATACATTAAAAATCTACTGGTTTAACTTCAGGAATGTTATTTATGAAGGCTTTAATTTATGGTATTTGCTTTACTTGAAGACTAAAGACCCTCTATGACAACTCAGGAGATTTCTCTGCTCTATATGTTTCTTACTGGTATAGTGTTTCTAACAATTTTGTGACAACAATTTTAGGAGTTACATAAACAAGAGGAGAATATCAGCAAACTGAAAAGTAACTTCTGATCATTCAGGCTGGAGATTACACAGAGAGAAGTCTTACCTGATAGAAGCTATAATCCTGAAATTCTGATCACTTCTTTAAAAAAAAAATGTAGTCGTTTTTTATTTTATGCTTATAACTGTTTTGCCTGCCTGTCCATTAGTTCACCATATGTATGCTTTGTATTCTTTGAGGCCAGAAGAGGGCACCAAATTTTCTTAAAATGTTATCACAGACAGTTGTGGTCCAACGCAAGGGTGCAGGGAACCAAACCAAGGTCCTCTGCAAAAGCAGCCAGTGCTCTTAACTACTGAGCCATCTCTTCAGTCTCCTGACTGACTCGTAACTGGTACTTACATTTAAGTGACAATGAAGTTTGATAAGTTAGGCACACTGACATCCAGATCATCACTTGAAGAGGCAGAGGCAGGCTGATTTCTGTTAGTCAGAGGCCAGCCTGGTCTACATAGTGAGTTCCAGACCAGCCAAGGCTACATAGTGAAACCATGTACACAATACACAAATAAAAATTAAAAAGAAAAAAGAACTCTGTAACTATATAGACTTGACATAAAATCATCATGTCTTTTCTGTCCTTATTTAAAGTGGATAACTCCATCAGCATGGCTGGGAATCTGCAGTGATAATAACGTTCAACACGAAGATCGCAAAACGATGACGATAAACACTGACTTACCACTGTCCTCTGTTTGTTGGGCAGGAAGACTCTAACGATGGGTTTCTGTGGTGACTTGGGGTTGTTCCGTGATACATCTGTGGGAGTTTGAAAAACTGAAAGAGATGACGGTAGCACTGAAAGGCTAGAAGAGGAGGAGGATGTAACGGTGTCCATTGAGGCAGAGCTAGAAACAGAAAAATCTGCTCCATTACCCAGGGATTCCAGAAGCTGTTGCTCTCTTTGCTGAAGGGCATCTAGCTTGCTGGTGTACTCTTCATAGGCCTACAAGATAAAGGAGAGTCACACTGGACCTGGACATTCACAAAATACAAACCCAGTCTTTGATTACACCTTCTTTATAATCTAAAACAGGGTTTAAGCTACAAGTTACAAAGTAAATACTACAAATATTCCCACTTTTAAATGGAAAAATATCTGTTATAGATATTAGCTTATTATGTTAGAAAACTTGACCTACATATGTTGTATCTACATGGTCCTTAAATGTTAATTTACAAAACAGTACTTCCCAATATTCTGGTCGAAGAGTAAGTTGCTTTCCAAAGTACAAGTTTAGCATAAGACAAAATATGTATAAAGTATCACACTGCATCAAAGATAGGTAGGTGTCTCTTCCTAAATTTTTCTTTCCAGAAAAGTTGTAGGCATATCAAGTTTTATAGACTTTGGCAGCAAACAATCATTGCTATGCTTATTTGAAATAGATGATTCCATTTGTATGTTTCTGAATATGCAGTGATATGTGCACATGTGCATTCATGTGAATACAGAAGGGGAGAGGGGGAGAGAAGGAGAGAGGGAGGGAGGAAAGGAGAAGGAAAGGGAGAGGGAGAGGGAGAAGGAGGGAAGGAGAGAGGTAGGGAAAGGGACAAGGAGAGAGGGAGGGAGAGGGAGAGGGAAGAGGTTATTAGAGACATGTTGAAATTCAGGAATAAGCTACACAGTGCCAGATCACACTAATCTCACTGTCAACAAAAGAACCTTGGCAGGGCTTAAATGATCTGTAACACTACCTTCTTTCTGAAATAGCCATAGTTATTAGCTAATCATTTATTCTTTTAAAAAATACTTTCTCATTATAGATTCCTTTTTCTCCACAACAAATTTTTATTTATTTGGTAATTTAATACAACGCACCACAATCACACTCACTCTCCAGTTCTCCCACCCTTGCTCCCCCCCAAAACAATTAAGAAAGTGAGAAAGGAAGAAAATCACAAGTCCAATTTGTGCTGCTCATGTACTCACTGAAGCATGGTCAAACTCCCAGTGGTCAGCCCCTTAAAAAAATGGAGCCCTTCCCCAACTCTACTGAGAGAAGCATCAACTGTGAAGAGCGCCACATCAGCATCTTTATCACAATTTGTAAGGAGTCTCTTCAATAGCTTCTTGTCTGGACTGGGTTTTTTTTGGGGGGGGGCAGGGGTGTGGGGAGGGGTTGTCACAGAAGCCTTTGATATCTCTCATTCTCAGTTATGAGTCTGTAGTCATCAATACCACTGCAGAACCTTCCTTGCCCATAGCAGGCAATGGCAGCATGGATTATGCGTGGGCTTTCACATGGTTTCCAACATCATGGACATCCAGACAGCCTCTGGGGGCAGCACAAACTAAGGATACCATCAGTCTCCTGTAACAGCTATGATCCTGGCCATCAACATGCTCTCTGGCAGTATTCCTCATTTTCTCCTTCCTCATCAAAATGCTGTTTAAGCAAGTAAGAATTGATTTGATACTCTGCAACCACAGGAAACTCTGGGCCACTAGGAGTATATCCTCTTAAACATTCCATTTGACAAAAGCTATAAAGTCAAATGGAGTACCATATTAAATACCAAATTCTCAAGGAACAGAATGATACAGAAAGAGATAGCATTAATTGGAATATACATATCCACAGTTCTTTCAGACACTGGAAATCATCTCAACTCAGAGCAATTTAGCCCTCTTGTACCCTAACATCCCAAATAGATGCAGTACTACAAACATTTACAAACCTCCACAAAAGAGAATCAAGGATTTTAGTATGGTATTCCCTTTTCCATCAGACTATAGGCAAGCCTGTAGGGCATTTTCTAATTAGTGACTGATATAGAAGGGCACAGCCCATTGGAGGTGGTGCCACCCTCTGACTTGGTACTGGATGCTATAAAAAAGCAGGCTGAAAATGAAAATTTAGTTTTTTCCAAGGAAGTTTCATTGAGGGAAACAAATTTCTCTTAAGGGATAGGCTGCAAGCCCAGCAGTAGATGGCCAACAGAAAACAAAAAAACAAACAAACAAAAAACCCAAAAACATCAATATCGCTGAGGTTTTTGGAGGTTCTTAGTCTCATAATGTGGCATCACTGCCCACACCCCTTAAATTTTTTCTTATTTGTATTTTAATTTATACTTTCTCTCTTTTTACCCACTGGTCCTTTGCATATATATCATGGCTTCCAGTTTAGTGTGCAAATAAATGAGTCTCTGCATCTTTATTTGTTTCTTTTTCCCCTTGGGGGGTTCTTTTCCTTCTGTCTGTTTTTTTCTATTCTGAGGTGTTAGTTCTTGTTTCATATTATTATATTACATTATATTATTATTCCTTTAGAGGCTTGTTTGTTTTCTAATGAGGAACAGAAAGGGAGTGGATCCAGATAAGAGGGAAAGTGGGAAGGATATGGGAGGACTAGAGAGTAGGGAAACTGTTATCAGGATATATTATATGAGAAACAAATCTATTTTTAATAAAAGGGGGAAAAATAAAAGGAAGCAGGCACGAGGAGCAAGCCAGTAGCAGCACTCCTTCATGGTTTCTGAAATCAGCTCCTGCCTCCATGTTCCTGCTCACTTGAGTTCCTGTGTTGGCTTTCTTCAATGAGCCCTGATTCAGGATACAGAGGGCAAATAAACTCTTACCTCTTCAGGTTGCTTGGTTATGGTGTTTTATCATAGTCACAGTAATCCTGTCAGATCTGATTCTAATATCCCTGCCTTAGAAATTTAGGCATTTATTTTCATTCTGTCTTCAAGACCCAGAGATACTCATACCAAAAGCTTTACAAAAGATTGAAATGCTGCCAGGATCTGACTCTGGAATGTTCACACTCTTGAATGGATACCTTGACTTTAAATCTCACTAGCATATGAATAAGTTTCAGGTCAACATTAATATCTCTAACATCTTCCCAGACTTGGGTCTATATTGTATTCTTTCCCATATTTTATGGATTATTATTCCAACATCATCATCAATTTCATCTTTGATTCTTTAGCTAGTTCTTTTTTTTTTTTTTTAAGTAAGATTGCTAAATTCCATTTTTGGAAAATCCTACTATTAACCACTCCCAGTTCCTCCCCAACTTCCATAACATCAAGACCCATCCCCTTCCTGTCTCCACTAGAAAGTAAAGTGGCATCTAAGGGGGATGATGATGATGATAATAATAATACTGATAATAATATTAATAATAATGGCGGCTCATGTAACTAACCATTGGTAGAGAAAATAAAACCAGGCCACCAGTGGTTCTATTATCTATTCTCAGAAACTTCAAATTGCCTGGTTTTTCAAACTACTATCTGAACAGGTTTTTTGCTGTTGTTTTGTCTCTATGTGTGGTTTTTTGTTGTTTTTGTTTTGTTTTGAGACAGGAGGGTTTCTCTGTGTAGCTCTGGCTGTTCTAAAACTCACTTTGTAGATCAGGCTGTCCTTGAACTCAAGAGATCCACCTATCTCTGCCTCCTGAGTGCTGGGATTAAAAGTATGCGTCATCACCACATGGCCCCTGAATATTTTTTAAAAACAACACATCATTCTTTATGATATCCATTTTAGCTTTTTCTACTTTTCCCAAAATCCCCAAATCTCCTAATGTTGAATTCATTTTGAAAATGACATTATGTTCAAATTTATTCTGAAGATCAAAGCTATTAAATGAATACTAAGCTACAAAAAGAGTTCAAAGACAGCCTACAAAACTTAGGTGAGACCTGGTCTCAAAGTTAAAAATCTAAAGAGAGGTAGTTGTTAGGTGTGGTAGTGCCTTTAATTTCAGTACTCAGGAAACAGAGGCAGGTGTAAATCTTTGAGATCCGGGCCAGCCTGATCTACATAGCTAGTTCTGCCTTAAAACAAAACATAACAAACAAAGAAATCCCAAACAATAGAACAGAACAAAGAATCTGAATAAACAAAGATTTCCTAGAAATACACAAATAGGGGCTGAAGAGTTAGCTCAGTGGTTAAGAGCACTGGCTGCTCTTCCAGAGGTCCTAAGAGTTCTCGTTCTCTCTCTCTCTCTCTCTCTCTCTCTCTCTCTCTCTCTCTCTCTCTCTCTCTCTGTGTGTGTGTGTGTGTGTGTATGTGTGTGTGTATGCGCACAAGTAGCTAGTAGATGAAAGATACTCAAAACCGGTTCTTTCTGGTACTTTGCAAACTAAACCAAACTGAGGTACTAGTCCACACCTATAAGGATGATAACAAGTTGACAATTCAGAGAAACTGAACCCACAAACGTTACCAATGAAAATGTAAAATAGTGTCAAGGCTTTGCGAAAGTATCTTCAAATTATAAGAATTATCACAGGGCCTAGTAATTCTATTCCTAGGCATGCAACCAAGAGATTTAAAACAAAACAAAACAAAATTTCACAAAATTTATGGTGTGAATGTCCATGGTGGAATAACTATTAATTTCCAATAAGCTAAACAGCCGAATGTTCATCAATCGCTGAGGGGTAGAAAGAGTCCACCTGGTAATTGGTTACGAAAGGAAATGAAGAACTGAGGCATGCCACAGCTTAGATAAACTTTGAAGACATTATGTTAAGCAAAAGCATCCAGTCACAAATGGCATGTACAAGGTCTACCAGTACAGGCAAATCTACAGGGACAAAAAGATCAGGCATTTGGAGGAATTCAAGGAACAGATGTTAATGGAGAGACATGCTTTTGAGGAATACTGAAACTGCTTTAGAGTTTATGACGATGGCTTCAACAGTCACAAATCTACTGCACCTGAGTCCTTACGTTTACCCCTCCCCCTTTCTGTCCCAGTAATAGAACCAAGCTTGGTGTAGTGAATTCTAGCTAAAAGCTTGCATTTAACTACACTCAACCCTTTATTTTTTCTATATTTTAAAACAGAGTTGCTAAATTGCATGGACTAGCTTAGAATTTGCTTGCTTCAGCCTGTCAGAGACCTGTCATTACAGGTATGTAGCACCTGCATTAAGAATAAGTATTAAGCTTTTTCTTACTGAATTTAATCTCTTCCTGAATTTATTAACTTTACACAGATATACACAATGAACTGATCTACATTCTGGTATTCTTTTCATTGCAGAGATTGATGAAATGTGTCTGCACTGTTTCCCATTTGACATCTCGAGATGAAAAAGACGGCCATGCATTATGAGAATGCTATATTGACTGTTTTGGTTTGGATCTTAAATGTCCCCAGAGACCACATAATAAAGGCACGGCCCTTTTTACTTTTTACTACAGTGGTAAAACCTGAAAGAGGGAAGACCTAATGTAAGGAAATAAGATTCTCAGGGACATTTCTTGTGCTTTACTTTTCTTTTTTGAGGAAAGGTTTCAATTATGTAGTCCTGGCTGATCTGAAACTCACAGCCTGCCTCTGCCTACTGAGTATCAGGACTAGGTTGGCCTGTGAAGAGAATACTAGATTCTGGCTCCTCCTTATTTTTCTCTTTGCTTCTTACTCCATACACCATATGTCAGGTACGAAAACAAGGAGAAAAACATCTCGAGCTCGCAAGATGGCTCAGCACTTAAAGGGACATGCCACCAAGCATGACATGCTGAGTTCAGTGCCTGGGACCCACATGATGAAAGAAGAGAACTGACTCCTTAAAAGTCTTCGGACTTCCATATGCACTACATGGGACATATTTATGCACAGACATTTGTATGAGTGCATGTGCATATAAAACAAAGAAATGTAAACAATTTTTAAAGCATTTAACACTTCCACAGAGAAGATATTCAAATTCATTGAGTATAAACAGGAAAATGAAAGAAACAGAAAAATCCTGGAAATAATTCTCAGGGGCAAACACATCTTTCCCTCCTCAGGACTGAGGTGATTAATGAGTAAGCCCAAAAAAAAAAAAATGAGTATGCCCGAGATCAACAAACAAGATAAACTTCAAATTGTGTGATGAAAGTGAAGCCTGAATTGTACTGAGATCCTGGTATTTTGGCCATGTCAGAGCGGCAAGATACCTGACAAGGAGAGTTTCGTATATGGAGTAGAATCAGCCCAAGAGAGAGATGGATGATACAGGCAGCAAAGCTGGTGGGGCTGGGCCATCTAAGTCCTTTGAAACTCAAGTCCTGGACATCATATAGAATTTTATACTGTTGAGGTTTGGTTTTGCTTTGGTCCTGTATTTTCTCACTATGCCTCCATTCTGCTCTTGAGGAATGGTAAAACAAACCCTGTCCTGACAGCCTAAGTTTTTTTTTAACCCCAGGACCAACATGGTTGGAAAGAGAAAAATTCTTTAAAGTCGTCCATTGGCCCATACACATGAATGAATGAATGAATGAATGAATGAATGAATGAAGAAATAAACAAATTAACTTTAAAATAGCAACTAAGTAACTAAAGTGTAAAGAATTCAATTAAAAATTAAAGATTTAACGTAGACATTTCTCCAAAGAGGGTGCCCAAATAAACAATAAAATGTAAAAAATATCTCAACATCATAGTCACTGAGGAAATACAAAGCAAAGCCACAATAGAATACCACTTTACATTCATTAAAATGGGTATTATCAAAGTCAAAGCAGAAAATGTTCAGTGTTGGTGAGGCTACTGTGCCTTCACTGATAAGAAAGTAAAATGGTGTAGGCACAGTATAAAAAGGTGTGGGAGTCCCTTTAATGAAATGACCACTGAATGATCCTGCTCTTCTAAGACTGGGTATACATTCGAAGACATGAGGGCTGTCCAAGCCTAAGGACCTGAGTTTGCTCAGGATCAACAATCCACACCGCTCCCCACACTTCTCTGCCTTTTTCTATAAATGCTGGCTCAGCTGTAATCAAGAGTTAATTATATATAAGATAAACCTACATTACAAATGATCAGGTTACCATTAGCTTCAAATATCAGATTTTAAAGCCACCAATCCCGAAGACATGAGAACTGACTCCTCCAAGTTGTTTATTAGCTTCCACATGTGCACTGTGGCATGTGTGTGTGTGTGTTTGTGTGTGCGTGCTTATGTGCAGAAAGTATATAAATACAATTTTAAAACTTGTTTTAAAATTCGAAAGCAAGAATTCAATTATCTTTCACCCATGGCCATTCAGCATATTTTTGCAATCCAAGCATCCACAAATAGGCAAGCATTCTACCACAAGTATCCCCCTGGCAAGGAAGGACATTTTTACACATGTACTACCTATGTTGTAATATGTATAGTCCTTGAAAACATGCTAAGTAAAATACGCCAGCCACAAAAGGACAAACGATGTGATTCTATTAAAACAGTCAAATTCACAGACACAGGAGTACCTAGTTGTTATTACAGATCATGATGAGAGGAAAATGTGGATTTGGTAGTTAATATGTAAAATAAAAAAGATGAGTCTTAAATGATGAAAAGTTCTGAAGATGGATTGTATTGATGGTTTCAAAATAAAATTAATTTGCTAAAAAATTATTTATTTATTTTAATTTTTTTTATTCTATGTATATGAGTGCACTGTCACTGTCATCAGATACACCAGAAAAGGGCATCAGGTCCCATTATAGATGGTTGAGCCACCATGTGATTGCTGGGAATTGAACTCAGGACGTCTAGAAGAGCGGGCAGTGCTCTTAACTGCAGCCCTAAAAATTTATTTTTTAAAGTGGTAAATTCAATGTATCTTTTATTCTAAGAAAAAAATGTTAAAGATTTTTAATAAGCGAACCTCCAACCCTGAAGAACAGTATACCTCGGGAGTCATCGTGAGAACTGGCTTTTGACTGAAGTCCTTCAAAGTTCAGTCTTTTCTCTTGGGTTGGTCTTTCCACAGGCAAGCATCTGTCAGTCTTCTACATAGTGTATCAAATGCTAATTAAGACTAATATTCTAACACCTTTATATGTTCATTGTCTATACGTCCCTCCCCCCTGAAGCACAATCTATTTGAAGATACAGATTTTTGGCGCTTAAACTTTTTTTTTCCAATATCACTGCAAACAGTATATATATATTAGAGGGCATTCAGTGAATATCCCTATCTGTAGAACCTTAACATATGTCAGGAACCATGTTATTTTGTAACTATAAACTCAATTCTTAAATTATTACATGTAATGCTATTCTAATTTTTTCTGAAATATTTTATAAATATTTCATAATATTTGATATTACTATTTCATAATATTTAATATTTTTCATAATGACTCAATATAATCATATTATATGATACTAGTACATATGGAATCTGTTACTTTGTCACATACTAATAATATAACCCATTAAATTTTGCTCTGATGTTATACTTTTTTGAACATATGATTCAAATTTGTATGCCTAGTTGTAAAAAGAAACCAATCCAATTAAATATAACTAAAAAAAGTCCACAATTTGTATAACAAGGAATAGGTAAAGAAATGAGAAATGTTTAGTCCAAATAAGAGCTGCCTGGTGGTAGACTAATGGCAGAGACAACAGGACAGCAAAGCAGTAGAACAAGGCGGTGGCAAGTATTACACATTTGTAAGTAGATATCTATCTGCCTTCTTCCCTTTAGCAATAGTACCTACCACCAGAAGTAAGGTACTTAACCTCTCTATTTAGCCTGAAAATGGAAATAAAATACCTATGCAGGAGTTTGCTAAAAGTAATTATAAGTATTAATAAAAGCATTTAACATAGTACAGGGCACAGAATAAGAATAAGCACAAATGTTTTTCTTTTTACTAATCAATTTTCAAGTATTTAAGTGTCTCAAGAGTATGCGTCTGGTGAAAACAATCCATCATGACTGTAAATAAACATGTTTATTGATTCAAATGTGGGAAAGTCCGCAATAGATAGAGACAAACTGTTGCTTATGTTGTATAGTTGATAAACAAAAATGAGCAGTTTCATTAAGACTATACTGAGACTACTTCTGACTTCTCTGCTTGTCCTCCTATACTACACAACTGAAAGTACAGCTAGACTTCGAGTTCTGCACTGATAGCATAAGCAGCAGTGGGATCCAGAATAAGTCATGAGGAAGACAAGAAGAGAACGGTTTAGTTGGTGTTTCTAAAATTCCAAGATTTGCTTAACTTTCTCACAAAATAATGAAGACTTAATTTTTCTTTAAAAAATAATTAAGGGGCTGAAGAGATGGCTATGCAGTTAAGAGCACTGCCTGCTCTTGCAAAGGTGCTGAGTTCAATTCCCACCAATCACATGGCGGCTCAACCATCTGTAATTGGATCTGATGCCTTCTTCTGGTGTGTCTGAAGACAGCTACAGTGTACTCACATACACAAAATAAATAACTAATTCTGTAAAAAATAGATTGCAAAATCAGAAATTTAGTTAAAAGTTGTTCAAACCATGTGTTAAAATCTCTGGTATTTGAAGCCAAATGCTAACTTTGTCTTTGGTTTGTTTTTTGTTTGTTTGTTTGTTTTTTGTTTGTTTGTTTGTTTTGAGGCAGAGTCTCACTGTGTAGCCTAGGTGTTTTAGAACTATGTAGCCCAGGTCGACCTCAAATTTACAGACATCTGTCTGCCTCTGCCTTGTAAATGTTGGGACTAACAGGGCATACCATCATGCAATTATAGCTGAGCAAGAGTTACTGAAGAAAGGCAGTAGAGAGCGTGGCAAGTCGTGTTAGCTGGAGAGCCTGACTGACTAGACTCCACACTAGCTTGCTTGCCACGGATGGACTGACTTTTAGAAGAAAACTAAGGGCAAGAAGGCCTCTCTGTGACTATACAGTACCTACTGTCTCACAGGACAGGATTAAGAACAATAGCTAACTACAGATGGATAACTTCACTTAAGGCAGATGATACAAGTCCCAAGGCATCACTAAGTAGCAAGACTGAGCAATGGTGCTCCATTCCAAGATTATAAATTCTATCTAAGAGAAAGCAGAAAACAACTATGGAGAACATATTTTTAAAATATTTTACAAAACCATCCAAATTTCCCAAGATGGCAATTCATTCTGCTGACTCCCAAAACAGTGGGCTTTTTCTTTCTCTCTTTTTAACAACTCTTTTTTTAAAAATTCAGGCAATATTTTGAAGTTTATAGGGGACATCCCTCTCAGTTTTGACATTTTCCAAATCAAACTAACACATGCAGATTGCAACAAGTGAATGAAAACAAGACTAAGAAAAAAAGACAAAGTTAATTCTTCCAATGTTTCCAATCCTGCTCTCTAAAATAACCAAAACTATGACTATAAAACATTTGAATATATTTTTCCCTCAAAATTACTATAAAGCAATACTCAAAACTTACCTCCAAGTATATTGATGGTGGGTTATGCTCTCCACCAAATTTGTCCAATAGGGCCTCTATATGTTCCTGTGTCAACTTAATCATTTGCTTGATATTCCAGACCTAAAAAAGGTAAAAGAATCTAATTCAAGATCACTTAGCATATGAATTAAAAATATTTTAATGTAGACAAACAGAATGTAGTAACTATCAGTATCCTCCTCAAGGTTCTAGATAATTTATTGGGGTTTATGATTATTAGTAACTGTATTAACCTTTTACCATCTAGTAATGTATCTCTATCTATAAGAGATTCAAATACCTGCATATTCAGAATAAACAATCAAAACTAGCAGTTACTATATTAAATAAAATAAGACAGACTCAGAAATACAAACACCACTCCACATTTCCTATACTGTGGAACTTACATTCAAAATTAAACACACACACACACACACACACACACACACACACACACACACACACACAGAATAAATCGTGAAAATCTATTTTTATCTTCCATCAAATTTGGGTCTCCTCACCAGAAAGCAAACTCTTTTTTTTTTTAGAGTTTGTTATTGTGATGGTTAACCTTCAGTGTAAACTTGACTGGGTTTATATTTTTATTTTATTTTTTTAGTGAAAGAAGATATTGGCCAGGTAGTGGTGGCAGACACCTTTAATCCCAGCTCTTGGGAGGCAGAGGCAGGAGGTGCTCTATGAGTTTAAGGCCAACCTGGTCTTCAGATTGAGTTCCAGCCAAGCAACAACCAAGGCTACAAGTGACAGTCAAGGTTTTACAGGGAAACCATGTCTTGAAAAACAAAACAACCAAAACCAAAAAAAGAAAGACTATATTATGCCTGGAGGGTTTAACAAAAACCAGCTGTCTCACAATGTAGCCACATGAAGGCTGAACTGTTCTAAGATGGGAACAAATGAGAGGCCAGAAACGAGGGCTTCCTGAGATTGGGATTTAGACATGTTTCTGCCCAGGAAGCTGGGAATGGGTGTAGTAATAACCTGGTGATCTTCTGCAGGGCCCGAATCCCGTAGACTGTCATGTTTATCCTAGACTCTTCCTAGACTCCTGAGTGTTGTTTCCCAGTCAACAGAACTTCTTATGAAAGAAGTCACAGGTACTTTGCAAGAGTTTCAGTGTAGTCATGCCCTAGGCTTTACTGTGATAACTGTCACCAGAAAACTGTTTCCAAAATTGTACTATGTTTAAATATATTTAAAATAAACTGTTTGGAGTCAGACTCTTTGAACCAACACAAGCTAACTAAGTCAGTCGGGTTGAACCGGATTTCCTTCTTACTTCAGTCAGATCGTTACTCTGCAGGAACCCTGACACCCTCAATCTGTGGATCATACAGTGCAAAAAGAGAAACCACTTCTGAGAGTTTCCTCTGACCTCCAAGCACAAGCACCATGGCTCATGTGCTTCTATATTCATACACATGCTTCTATCCGCCCCCCCTCTCTCACACACACACACACACAGGCAAATTATGTAAATATATAATTAAATAAGCAAATGTAAAGAAAATCGTATCTGGCTCATTTACTATATGTGGCTTTTCATCTCTACCCTAAAAAAAAGTCTTTTAGAATTTGTAATTCTAATAATAAAATCTCCCCAGTTTTCCATTTAACTTGCTCTGTATACGTCAATAACAAGTAGGAGCTAAGAATATTGTACCACACATAAAATATCAACTTGATGTGGCGCTTAGTTTATATCAGGCACTGTTTATATACTTGTCTCTATTAGTTTATTTAACTACTAGAGTGTCTTGGTTTTAGTACTTGATCTCGTGAAGTACAAATCTTAGCTACGTAAGTCAAGCATTAAACAAACATAACATGTCATACTGTGATTAAAAACAAGCATATATATATATATATAGTGTTTTTTTTTCCAAAGAAACAAGCAAACAAATGAGCTTGAGACCAGGACATGGAGGGCTATTAATTTAAAGATCTGAAGGAAGGGGAGTAAGCACAGAATGCACATCCGAAGGAGAAAGCTAGTAAAACAGAGGAGGAAAAAAATACAAAAGCATTAACATTGGGGAAAGACTGGCTCATGTGTGACAGGCTGATTGCATTAATGCCCCCAATTAACAGTTTTCTAATAGGCACACCTTTTAGTCTGTAACTTTGCAAGTCCTCTTTCTATTCTGACCCTAGGCTTCTTCAGAGACTTGGTTGTTCTTGTGATATCTTGCAGCACGGTATTGGCAAACATAACCCAAGCAGCGGTTTGAAATGCAAATATGAACTCCGCGCTATCTTGCACAACTGAACTTTGCTTGCTCTTTCACCTCTGCTCTGCTCTGCTCTAAGAACATGCCTCCGCTGGCCTATCAGCACGACACTGTGCCACATAAGCTATTCTAGAATAGTTAGCTATCTAGAACCACCAGCTGGTCACAGATAAGTGATCTGAACTCAGCCAACAATGTTCGTGTAATTCACAACAGCATGATTTCACAACTGAAAATAATGGTGATTTTAAGTGCTGGGCTTTAGGGAGGTTTATTAAATAATAGAAAATATATTGTACAGAAATATGCAACAGAACACACAAAAAATACACATGAATGCTCCTAACGGTAATATTCCTATTAGCCAATATGTGACAACAAGGTGGACATGGTTATGCACGCCTGTAATCCCAACACTGGGGAGAGATAGGCAGGAGGGCTGGGAGGACAGACTGGGCACATGAGACCCTCTCCTAACAGAAGAGCAGAGGAGCTGAGCGAGTGGTTCAGTTGGTAAAGTGCTTGCCATGCAAGTACGAGGACCTGAACTCAGATCCCCAATGAGAACAGCCTAAATGTTCATCTGCTAATAAGTAAAATGCAGTGCATCTATTAAAATAAAATGTTATGCAATGAAAAGGAAATAAACCATGCATATGTACTATAACATAACATGAATTGATCTGGAATACGCTGTATTAAGTGCAAAAAGCTGGCAAGCAAAGGACTATATAATATAAATGATTTAAAATTGTCCACAATAGGGAAATCTATAGAGAAAGAAATAGATTAATATGTTACTTAGTTGCTCAGGAATGGAAAGGATAGAGGGATTAAAGGAAGATGGCCAAGAGTTTTAGGAAAATCAAAATATTTTAAAGTTAAACTTGGACGGTGAGAAAGATGAGAGGCCATCTTCCCTGGGGCATTTAGCAGATACAAAGCACTATCAAATAACTGTTACTGCTAGCATGTTCTTTAAGTTCACACTGTAAACATTGCTGGTGACCCCTTTAGGAGAATGAGGCACTATGACTCTAAGGGTTTATGGACTTTCTTTTGCCCCCCCCCCCCCCGGTTTCCTTGAGTAAAAAACTATCAGTCAACTAACCAGCAGGACTATCCTTCTGTTAGTACCAACCATCTGGAATAGTCCATGGACATTTTGAAGACAACTACAAATCTGAGTATGGAAAGCAGTGGGAACCTAAGTAAAGATTAAAGGAGAGCTAACTAAAGGTTTTCTTCTTGTCAAGAGAGTATAGGAGAAAATACAGATGCTGAGCATTTGAACGGACGGCATCCCTTCACAAGAATTACACAGAATTGCCACAAAGCAAAGTTATGACAGGGAAGAAAAACCTACATTATTCTGTAAATCTAACTCTATTAAACCTTTTAAGGTAACTTTTAGTTTTAAAAATATGAAGCTAAGGCTGGAGAGATGGCTTGGAGTATGTTCCAGGGGAATACTTGCTGTACAAAAGCCTGACTACATGAATTCAATCCCAGAATTCATGCCAAGAGAGGCTCCTGCCTGTAATTCTACCATTTCTATGGCAAGATGGGAGGGAAGATAGGAGAACTGGTTAGAAGCTTGTATATAGATGTACACACACACACACACACACACACACACACACACACACAAAGAATAAATATTTTTAAAACAGAAGCTAGTAATTCTTTACACTAAAATGTGCAGGGTTTTTTTAGATTTATTTTAAAAAGAAATTTAAAAGTAGAAAAAAAAAGACAGACACACATGACGGGTAGTTCATACCTATAGTCCTAGTTAAGGTATGAGGAAAATTTGAACCCAGGAATTCAGGGCTGGCTTTAGCAACCCAGAAAGAGACCTGTCTCAAAAGTTAAAATGAACAGTATAAAAATAAATAAAAAGTGAAGTTCTACTGAACAAAATAGAAACAGAATGTTAAGATACTTTAAAACTTTAAAGGAAAAACCTCAGTTCTATACTTAACTCTTTAGACTCTTCCTGTCTTCGTAACTAACAACCTCACTGCAGAGTGAATATAGCTCCCAGGTCCCAGGCTATTCTGTCATCTGAAGCTCTCGGACGTAGTTCTATTTCCAAACCTTTAGTGAAACTCCCCTTTGTCTTAGGTTCTAGGGGAGAGGCTCTACTGTACTTTCTAAGTAGGCTCCTCTCAGTATTTATTTACCTGGATACAGCTAAAGCAAAAAAGAGAAAACCATGAAGAGAATTTCTGTGACTCATTAATTTCTCAGAGAAAATATCAATCAGTTCCTTGAAAGTGTCAGTAAACAACTGGAGGTGGTGGCACACACCTTTAATCCCAGCACTCAGGAGACAGAAGCAAAGACAGGCAGATCTCTGTGAGTTTGAAGCCAGCCTGGTTTACATAGAAGGCTACAGCCAGGGCTACACAGAGAAACCCTGATTTGGGGGGGGGGGGGAATTCAATAAACCACAATAAAAATGTAGCCTAGGAATCACAAAGGTAAAATAACTGCATCATAGCCAGCTTAAGAGTAAATTTTATGGCAGGAAAAGAATCATAAGTAGTTTTAACTCAACAAATTCAAACTACACTTGAGATAGATATTTTTGTAAAAATTTAAGTACATAGCCAAAATCATCTCAGCAAAGATGGAAAGCATAACTAGGCCAATAAACATGTAAAGAAGTTAAAAATTAGCCGAAGGTCAATCCAAAGGAAACAGCAGGGTTGATGGTTCCACAACTCCCTGGAGCAACTGGGTGATGGGGGCTATCTCATCTCATCTCCTCCAAGGCTGGCAGGTGTTAAGCAGCCAGAGTTACCAACAAGTGAAGTAAATAGCTGATACACACAGTTGGAT